GCGAGGCAGAGCCCGCGGTTTGCGGGGGGATGCCGGGGCCGTGCCGGCTCTCACACAGGAGCCAGAGCTGTAATCATACCCCAGCTTCCTGCTGGGTTACACACGGACAAATTAATGGGAGATAGATTGCTACCTGCAGCCCATCAGTAACCAGGGAGGCAGGAGGCAATGCAGCACTGCAAGGGAGCCATAACCTGAATTTCCCTCTGTTCTCAGCCCCCTTTTAGGGCAGAGGGGCCTGAGCATTAATACCTCACTGCTGCCCATATTTGAGCCCCAAACAGAATCACAGACACAGCCTGAGCAAGTTAATTCTGGCTACCCCAATGAGCCCCACAGTCCAGAGGTGCTGGAGACCAAACTGTTCCCCAGTCAGAAACACGTTGGACTTGACCCTGAAGGTCTTTTCCAACCCTAATTCTATAGAAAAGAATGGTTCTTTAAGAACCATTCTATAAGGAACTGGTTCTATAAGAAACCAACCTGAGCTGGTGGGAAGTGGTTCTGCTGGGAGATTCTATATGGACGCTTCTGTCACAGGACAAATCCTTCCCAGCATATAGAATATAAAAGTGGTGTCCCTGTAGCTGTCTCCCATGGGGACTGAAGGCCCCAAAGACAGATCCTGACTGTGCAGCAAAAGCACATCTTAGGTGGAAGGACAGCAACAAGAACTAAATCCCCCTGTAACCTCATTAACCTTTCACGGAAGGGTTAAAGTTTCAGCGTAGGCAGTGGTGCAGCAGCACAATTTTAATGTCACAGGCATGGACAAATCCCATTCTGTGATGGATCTGTTGCATGAGCAGCTGTGCAGGGCCAGATCCTGCAGCCTGGAAGCTGCCACTGGGGCTGGAGCAGAGCCCCAAGAGCCACTGCCTTCACCCATCCTCTGCTCCCTGCTCCAGCACTGCCCTGGCTGCAGAGCCACACACAAACCCCACGGGCTGAGCTCTGTGCTGAAATATTTACGCGCTTTTGAATTATACAGGAAAAAAAAAAAGCACTCACTAGTCAAGTTTTTACCCTTTTGCAACAGAACTTAGCAATCAAATTGATTGCACCTTTCAAGCTGGTCTAAACCCCCTTCCTGAGCAAAGTCCTTTGCACCCACTTTAGCCAAGCACCTTTTTTTGCAGCTGATGTATAAACCTTTGAAAATAAGTTTGAGGGGAGACTGACAACCTTGAAACCTCAAGAGCAGCATGGCATTGACGGGCGAGGCTCCCTGAGCTCAGTATTATGGATAGATTTTAATTTTATTTTAACAAAATAGCTGTCTCCAGTGGAAGAAGCATCAAGAGCTAAATGAGGACCCGTCTTGAGCTGAATCACGTTGAACAGACCTCGGCACTGTCATTGATTTTCTGGGAAGAAAAAAAATGCCTCTGGCTACTAAACCAAATTAGTAGTCACTGATGACCAATTATTTTGCCCCACTGTGAACGGGGAGGCGTACTAAAATTCCAGTTTGTCAGACCCAAGGCTCTCTTCTCAAACGCCTTTCAACAAGCGTGTACCAAAAACCTCTCAGATGGTTCTGATGCCTTCCTGTTTTCGGCAACTTCTCCTTCTCCAAAGTTTTAATGAGCTGCTGCTCTGAGGACAGCCTGCCACAAAGTGAGCCCTTGCCTGCACGCTGGAGCACTATTTGGCACTGGCACAAATCACAGCTGTCAGGATTTATACACACATACACAAAAAAAGTGTCAGCCTAATGTTTGCAAATTATAATTACCATTTCTCTTGCATGTCCCTGGTGCCTTCATTTTAGATAAATCCCAGCTCTGAGGTATCAGCTGCAAAGCACTGAAGGCTCATATTGAATGGAATAGATTTAACTAGTTTGTAGCTCATTTAAGGCCTACACTGTTTTATTTTAATATTGTTAATACTTTATTATACTTTTTAACACTGTTTTTACAGTAAAATAGCCTATTAGGAGGCTGCAGCTTCTTTTCCAGGGGATGTCTGGCAGACTAGAATTCCACATTGTATAACCAAGTTAGCAGGTGCTTGTCATTTCAGTTGAAAATAGGTCTGTACCCTGACTCTTGAAAGTAAATTAGAGAGATTCTATTAAAGAGACAGGAACTGTTTCAGGGATAATAGTTTTGAAAATGTGCACAGATAAATTTTAAAATATTTAGGAAATGTCAGCATTAGAAGTGGCTCCAACTATTTGACTATAAAAGGAAGCAGATGAGTATTTTTTTCCCCAACAATTATAAATAATTTGTTACATCCTATCAGAACTTCTTTGCCTTTCCTTTCTGTGGCAGGGTGCTTGTGCCAAAACAAGGAGATCTGAGTTGCTGTGAATGAGATGGGTTTTAATGTGCAATAAGCATTTCCAGAGGATGCTTCCTTCCCCTGCTCTCCCCGCAGCATCCACAGACAGCAACAGCAAAACCCTCCCTGTTCAGGAGCCACATCTGGGCAGGGTGACAAAAGGAAAGGGAACACACCAGCCATTGATCCCTGTCCTGAAGTAACACCAGGGCAAAAGGACATTTTCCCAAAGGCCAGCTGCAAGGCAGAGCTGTCACGCTGCCAGGCAGCGCCGATATCGGGGCCAATTCCCCATCCCTCTGCTGAGAGCAGGCTTTGACCTACAAAGGAAAATCCACCTTGCTGAGAGCTCTGCAGTCACCTTAAAGAGGTGTTCCCTGATGCCCCCTGCTCTTCCCCACTGTCTCAGAGCTCCTCTCAAAGGAGGAAAAGCCAGAGGAAGCCTCAGCCCCAGCAGGCTTGTGTGGATAACCAGCACAGGAGTCATTCCCAGCGATTTCAGAGAGGCAGTTCATGTGTGCATGGTTCCAGGCATGATTCTATACTTTGCTGGATCAGGGCTTAAATGTGATTAATCACACGGCAGGGAAGGATCTCTGAAGAGCATCAACCCAAATGTGTCCTTTCAAGCATTTACTTACAAGCCAGCTGTGGACTATCAGTCACCAACTGGCTGGTCCACTGGAGATGGTAAAAGTCACCTCCATAGAGATGTGAAAGCACATTCAACTTCAAAAAAAACCCCCCAAAATCAATAATCAAAGACTGCACACAAAGGCTTAGTGCTTTTCTGCATCCCTCCCTGCTAATCCTGCACACCAGGAAACCTCCTGCCTCGGAGAGGAGAGGGACAGCAGCAAACGAGCCATGCTCACCATGTGCTGGTGTCAGGAATACCAACATTCACACCACACTACAAAACTGGAGACCCAAACAGATAATAACACACTTTACCACTGGTTTGCCACACCTTTTAACCTTTTAAATATTTTGCCCAGCTGTGATCAGCGTGAAATGCCCAACTGGAAGGGAAGGAGGGGAAAGAAGAGGGGACAAAGGGTAAATGTCAGCGTTGCCTTTGGCACTGGGTGTCTCCAGATAATGGTGTGGAGCAGCAGAGCTGATTTGCAAGCAAAGGCTTGAAAAGCCCTGCAGCATGTGATCTATGAAACAGGAGGCCTGCAGAAGGATGTCTCCTCTGATATGAATGTCCCCTTGGGATGGATATTGCTGGATTGCACATCCAGTATCATTAGAAAACACAACCATAGATTAGGCTGTTTTGAAGCATGTGGTGTGCAATAATTAAGTAATAAAAGTCACCACGGGGGTGAAGGAACAAGAAACAGAAGAGTTACTATTTGCATACAGGCTGCTGGCGCCCTCGGTGATCATCAAGGATTCTCCAGGCTGCTAAAAGCTGGCAGCTGTCAGTTCTGGACCCACTCCTGCCATAAACCACAAGGCAACAGCTCACTCTTTGGCATGTGGGCTCTTTGCACAAACAGGTGGAGTTGGTGGCCCAGCAGCTCCCCCAAGTCCCCAGTGTCCCACAGTTGGTCCGCACAGGCAGGAGCAGCCCTGGCTCTGCTGTGGGAGCTGCAGCTGAGGGCTCTGCAGGCCACAGGTGGGAGCAGAGCTGGAGGTGAGAGCCCTACAGTCATCAGCTGCTGCCAGGATGGGAAAAGTCCCTCCTTAGCAAGGTGTGCAAGGACAAGGACCAATAAAACTTGAGCTTGAGGTCCTTCATCACCTTCAGGTGTTTGCTTCTAGGGGAGAGGAGTAGCAGCAGGACCATGGCAATTACTGATTTGCTGTCCCTGCCACTGCCAGCTCTGCCTCCCATGGTGGCTGATGAAGTATCCTCACTTGCAAGGAGCAAAGCTCAACAATTTCAGGCTGCAGCTTTGCCACAAGCTGGTCAGGTTAATGCCAGCTCAGAGCAGCTGAATGGGACATTGGCCAACAAGTAACTGCCTTTTTAGACTTCTTCTAGAACCTGGGTCATGTGCAGCTCCTCCCCTCTGCTGTCTCCTCCTTGCTCCCTGAAATCCTCTTTCAAGGGGCAAATACACCTGCTCTGTGCAGCTGAGGCTCCAGACCAGGGCTCAGCATTTCAGCTCCCCTTTCTGCTGCAGACCCTGGCCATCTGCACTGGGTCCATTTTTAGTCCTGCTCAGACTGCTGAGGACAGCACTTGCTCCTCTCACCCCATCCATCATTGCACTTTGCAGCCTTTGGTGCATCACACCAGAGAGATTTCAATGGTAAAAGCAGTGCTATTTTAGCAAAACTTGGCACCCAGGGGTTCTTCCCATGAAGGGAATCCATCCAGAGCTGCTCCTTTGGGAATCAGCTGGGAGAGGCTCTCCTGAAGCTCCAGCAGGGCCCGAAGCTGAGCTGCAGCCTGTGGTGCCCCGTGGTTCATCCAGCACACCAGGGCTCACACAGAGCTGCTGAAACCTGCCCTGGAAAAGGTTTGCAATTGTTCCTGTTCTGGGGAATGCCCTGGCACAGGTTAGCACACTTATGTTCAGGCTGTGGTGTGTTCATGGAAATCATTGTGGGTTTGAGGTTTCCTGAGGAGCAGAAATCCTTTCCCAGTGCAAGGCTTTATTCCTGTTCTCGCCAGTCACTTTCCAGGAGCAGAAATGTGAACCAGCACAAGGAGGCAAACATTAAATTGGTGTCTTTTCAATGTTTTCCAGGCCTCCCACTCCCTTTTTTGACCTCATGCAACACAGATACAAGGAGCTGTGGATGGAGGAGCAGAGAGCCCGGACCAGAGTCCAGCACATGATGAAGAAAAAGGTGGGAATAGTCCAGCAATGCTTTCCCCTGATGTGCACAGCATTCCTGAGCACAACCCTCACTGTCCTACCCCACAAGGGACAAATGGGATGCTCCCAGCCCTGGGAAGGGCTCTCAGATGAGAGAACATCCCCCTGATTGCTACAAGGCTGATGAAGCCTAACAAAGATGAGCATCCCCCTGCCAGGAGCTCCCCAGGCTGTATTTGGACATCAGCTCTGCTCAGGTTACCTGGGACAGTGGTCACAACCAAGGAACAAGCAGCAAATGCTGAAAGGACAGCCCCAGCCCTGAGCCTGGCATGGTCAGGCTGGTGCAGCACCCACAGCAGCTGTTGGAGTGTGAGGCTGTGCTGTTAAACAAACCAACATTGTAATATCATTTAAAAGTAGCCAATGACTGTTTTATTAGTTAATGGCTCAAAGAAGAGTCGGGCTAATATGGTAATGACCAATTTCAATGGGCTTACTGCCATCACAAACTGTGCTTTATAGTTGAAGTGCAGGAATACAGTGTCCTTAATTAGCAGCTATTTTATGAATACACCAGCCTGGCACGTTGGAAAGTTCATCCCTACTTTATCTATTAATGACTGATGTTTTTAATCACTAAGTTGCCTCCATCAAGCTCCCAAAGCCTGCAGCCACCAATTACTGAGTTAAGCAACACAAACCTGTATCCTGGACCACAGAGCAGACAGATTCCCAGGGTATCCAGGTACCTGCACTGGCTTGTGCTGGGATTATTGAGCACTGTGACCTGAAATTAATCAGGAGAGCCAGGAAAACTCACCATGGTGGGGGTGCTGGAGGGGACTTTCCCAGTTAGAGATGAGCCATTGCTGTAGTTCAGGGCACAGTCACCTCCCTGGGATGCTCTGTAAAGAGAAACTGAGAGCTGACAGCTGCTCATGTGTTTTAACTATCAGCATTGGCTGCATGGACATAGAAAACTCCCCAGATCATGAAATTGTGATCATCACTCCAAAGCAACTTCTGACCTCATCCATCCCAGTGTCACTGCATTGTGTGACACAGAGCTGACATGCATGTCTGTGCAGCAGTTTGAGCCCACTCTTGTTCACTTTTGGTTGCAGACAAGTGCAGAGCAGCAGTTTGAGCCCACTCTTGTTCACTTTTGATTGCAGACAAGAGAAGAGCAGCAGTTTGAGGTGCCGGTGTTTCTCTTTGGTTGCAGACAAGAGAAGTGAGAAGTTTGAGCCCATCTTGTTCACCTTTGGTTGCAGATAAGAGAAGTGCAGAGTTTGAGGTGCTGGTGTTTTTTTTTTTGTTGCAGACACATGCGGAGCAGCAGTTTGAGGCTCTGGAGTTTCTCTCTGGTTGCAGACAAGTGCAGAGCAGCATTCTGAGCCCCTGGAGTTTCCCTCTGGTTGCAGACATGTGCAGAGCAGCAGTCTGAGCCCGTGTTTGTGTTTGCTTGCAGGTGGGCGAGGTGCGCGAGAACCGCACCTCGTTCCTGCGCACGCACCCGCTGCCCGTGAAGCAGGAATCCTTCTGGCACCTCCGGCGCTTCGAGAAGGTACAGGCCCCCCAGAACCCCTCCCCTGACCAAAGACAACTTTTCTGAGCCTCTACAAGCACCTGATTGAAATCAGGGACGCTCTAACCTTGCCCACATGCCCCAGTGAATGAGGTTCTTAACTCAGAGCTCCCCATGAGCCAGACCTTAAAATGGTCCCAAATATGTTCAACCATCAGCCCCTTTTAAACATCAGGGTGGGATATTTTTCCCAGCCATAAGCCCTGGAAGAGAGGCAGCAGTTGCCCAGATAATAACACATTTTGTAACTTTTGTGCACTTTCACAAGCTTCCTGAGATGAGAAGCATCTTTTTCTATCTCATTGCTAGTACAGGGTGGCCTTTGCTCTACAAGTGCCCGACACAAGCAGGACAGTCACACCTGCATTTTGGGGCCCTGCCATCTCATCAGCTGTCACCATAACTAATTCAAACCACACCAGATGTTACAACAAGATTTTCCACCCCAGGATTAGAGTTTTCCAGAAAGCTTGCACTCTTGGTACCTCTCTAAACTACCTGATTGACAACGTTCAACCGGAGACAAAGCAAAAGCTCTGGCCAGGTTAGAGATGTCCTTGACACTTCCTTTAATTGATCCAAATAAGAGCCAAGGTGAAGATTTCTTGTTCTAGGGATGGGATCTAAACATCTTCCTGAATTCATCTGTGCAACTTGCTGTGCTCTGGGGTACTTGTTAGAATTCCATTAGCTTTGTTTGTGGTGTAAATGATATGGAAACTTCTCATGAGGAGCTAGGGGAGGTTTTAGGAGAGAAAGGGAAAGAACTGGACCAGTGAAATGGAAAGGAGACACTAGAAAGTGAAAGTTTAGGAAGTTTACATGGCCAAAATCATATTTGGCATTGATAGATACCACTGCAAAAAGCTCTCAGCTCTCTGTCCTGGCCCTTCTTCTGGTGGGGTTAATTTTTTTGCCACACTGTTGATTTCTATCCACACTTTAAGCAGCGAAGGAGCCCTGTGATATCCTGAAGGTAATTTACTTGTACAAGTTGGAGAGTTCTGCCCAAGAAATGTGCTTTGCACCACCTTGATGTATTCCTCTCCTGTCCTGTCTAAGAGTGCCCCATTAGCATATGTCAGTAATCATTTATCCCCACTGCCTGTCAGCTCGGAGCTGCCGCTGCGCGGGAACATGACCGATCGCTGTTAAACAGATTGTGAGAGTCACACGAGATCCTGGGGCAAGCCTCCTCTTTAGAGCTCCTCTCACCCCAGACCTTTCCATCACTGTTCATTTTTCAGCCTGGGTTTTGCTCTCTGCTTTCCTTTTTGTTTCATCCATGGCTGTGGTTGGGTTCCTGCCCCAGTTCTCAAAACCTTCACATCTTTCCTCCTTCTCTTTTTCCTTTTTCTTCTTCTCCCTTTCCATCCTTCTCAGAAGCAGCATCCAGCTCATTTTGTACAGCCTCTGCAGATTTTCCACATTCCTCCTTTCTCATTTGCCTTTCCCCAGTCGCAGATCTGACAGGCACAGCCCACATTAGAACTTGGATCAAGGAATTTGTTGCTCACTTGACCTTCAGTGCATGGTTTGCTCCATGGGAAAATAACTCCACTTGAACATCCATAAATGTTTACCCAGTTAAAAGCAGTAACAACCTGGAGGAAGTTAAGGGTTCCCAAAGATATTTGGTGGTCTCCAAATTGTTCTTTAACTACTCCTCTAAAGGAGGATTCTACAGGGATGATGGAATGGTTTTGAAAGCCAAACTGACTTAACCCAGGGACTCCAGAAGTCAATGTCAGTCCCTCCTTTACTGAGGTGACAAATGACCACTGCCTCTAATCCATGTAAAAACCTCATCCTACTGTGCAAGAATATGAAAAGCAACCACAAAAATATCACCTCAGAGAAAGCTTGTTAGCAGATTCCATCTGCATATTCCTACCAGTCCTTGATGGCTTTGTCCTGCTCTGGCCAGTGCAGAAGATGCTCATGACTTGGGAAATACTCCAGACCCTGGGCAAGAATATTCAGAGACTCCATTGCCTGACCACAGCATCACTTTAAACTTTATTTCCATGTGATCCAAGGCAGGTGACGTGCAGGAGTGTGATATTCTCAAGCCACTCACCCTTCTGGTCACTCAGTCCCCTCATCATCTGAATAACACCTTTCATTCTGGCCTGCTCTGGGTCTGAGGGGAGCAACACCCAGCCACTGAAATAGTTATAATCCAAAACAGGGGCAGCAGGAAGATGAGATTTTGTTCCTTTAGGCCCATAAAAATCATCAAGAACAATTTTTTTATTGCCACCATGACCCCTTACAGAGAACTGCAGAAACTGGGCATGGATATCTCCTCTGGTTCTTAAACTGGGCTTTCCATTCGGTCTCTGGCACCATGAAACCTTGCCCAAGAAGTGGAAGAGAAGAAAACAAAGGAGCTTTTCCCTCCCCACTAATTGCATCCACTTGCTCCCTGCACTGCCAGAGCTGCATGACATTACATAGTCATTCAGTCAGTAAAATATGGACAAATTGACTGTATTTTCATTTGGATTTAGGTTTCAGCCCCACTGCCCACACTGTTAAGCTAACTGGGTGATTTACAGGCTCTCCCACACCGGGTGCTTCTGCTTGATCTGTCCTGTGGTCTCCTGGGCCCCCCAGCTCACCGAGGCAAGCAGGTCACAGGGAGCCAGTCCTGTCCTGATGGGCAGTTCATTAGGGAAAGTTGCTGCATTGAAGTGGCTTTTTATTTATTTTCTTTAACTAAACCAAGCAGATGTTAACTCCTTACTCACCTCAGCAAGATGCTTCTACTGCCCTCCTCTTCCTCAGCCACCCACCAAGGCAAACAGTCTCTGCCATTACACAATTCCATAGCTTAGGTTTTGCCAGCGTAGCTGGGACTGTGCCCCAAAATTTAATTTATTTGTAGATGTGGGACTACCCTTCCTGAGGACTGTACTCTCAGGCACTCAGCATGGACATAAATCATGGAATTGTTTGGGTTGGAGATGGACCTTGAAAATCATCTTGTTCCAACCCCCTTGTCATGAGCAGGGACATCTCCCACTGGACCACGTTCAGAGCTTCATCCAGCCTGGTTTGGAACACTTCCAGGGATGGGGCAGCCACAGCTTCTCTGGGCAACCTGTTTCAATGCCTCACCACCCTCACAGGGAAAAAATATTTTCTAGCATCTAATCTAAACCTACTCTCTTTCAATTTGAACCCATTCTTACTTGTCTTGTCACTCCAGGTTCTTATAAATAGTCTTGCCCCATCTTTCCTGGAAGTTCCCTTCAGGTCACCCCAACACCTTCTCTGTTCCAGACTTAACAATCCCAATTCTCTCAGCCTCACGTCCCCCACGTTTGTCCTGTCCCCGAGTCACTCCTCACCTGCTGGCTCAGGCAGAATTGTGTCAGCCAAACTGTGGAAAGGACATTGCTGCCCAAATGCAGCATCTCCACCTGTGTCCGGCCAGGCTGAGGCTCCAGCCACGTCCACCTGAACATTTGATGGCCACTATCCAAACCACTAAGTCAATGTTGGCCACCCCCAATATATTTCCAAGGCTCTATCAAATCAAGAAAGATTCAGGCAGCAACAAAGCAGCGACACAGGACAGAATTCACCAACGTGTCAAAACAGCTCCGCGCACCTCCTGTCACCGACACACACCAGGGTTCTTCCTTTGCTCATTAGAGAATCCCAGCTCACACAGACACTCAGGTGGCTTGTTTACTTGACCAAGCAAGGGGAAGGAAAGGAAATGCAGCAACTTTGGACAAGACTTTTGTCACTGCTCGCTGCCTCCCCGAGCAGATGAAACGCGCGGCGCGGGTGCGCGATATGAATAAGCGATAAGCAATTGACGAGCAAGTGTTCGGGTACCTTGGCAAAAGACTTAATTTGCAACCTGGCACAAAATCAAAGGCTCTGTCAACGGCTGAGCGGCTCTCCTGCGTACGCCTTGCATTACCTGGGAAAGCTCTGTCAGGTAAATTTCCACTGAAAGTAATTAGAGGAATCCCCACTGTATAAAGTTTGCAGCAAAAAATTCTGGGCTCCCGGAATTTGATTCTCACCAGGGATCCGATACCTGCTCGCAGCCTGATCCTTCGTCAGAATTAACAGCTGAGGTTTAACACGTACACACAAAAATGTTCTGCATTTTTTTTTAATGCCTTACCTCTATTTTTGTCTATGGAGCTGAACTGACAAGCACAGCTCATGTAATCTTGCAGCTGTTGTCTTGTCAGAAAAGCCAAAGATTCTGCTTAAATAACCTGGGTTTGATACACACAGCACACAGGGCTGGCTGTTCAGGTGCAGCATTGGTCCTCCTGGGTTTGAGGGCAGAGAAACTTCTGGGACTTGGAGTGCTATAAAACTCCTCTCCTGAGGCCTAAATAGTGCTTAAATAATAAAGCAATGAGTTCAAGCGCTTCCTGTCACCACACTGCCATATCAATCCTCCCTTCAGCTGGGACTTGGGCTGACCAAAAAGAATTAAAATCAGTGTCAGCTGATGGTTGTTCAGTGGCCCAAGTGACACGAGCTGGTGGCTCCCAGCCCTGCAGTGACAATCCAAAGCAGCATCACTGGCCTGTGGCAGGCACAATGCAAACAGAGACCACAACACCCTGCAGGGCTCCAAACAGGCAGCACAGACCCAGCTGCCCTGGGCATGATCCCTGCACATCTCTGGGCCCACGGCCTCTCCATGGCTAACTGCAGGCTCTGGCCCCTGTCAGCACCACTACATTTCCTTGCAGATTCTGGAGGTGTTCTTGTTTCGCCTCCACAATCAAAGATTCCAGCAATACAATTGCTCAAATCTCAGCAAAGCATTTTCATTATCCAGGTTTTCCCACTATCCCTTGTGCCCTGGACACTTAACCTCTCATCCCACCCAGTGCTGCCCTCTGTCAGAGAATATTTTGGCTTGGAAGGAATATTTAAGGGCCATCTAGTCCAGTTTCCCTGCAGCGAACAAGGTCATCCTCAACCAGATTGTGTTTCTCAGAGCCCCATCCAACCTGACCTTGAAGGTTTCCACAGATGGAGCATCCACCATCTCTCTGGGCAACATGTCCAAGTATTTCAACACCCTCATTGTAAAAAACTTCTTATGTCTTATCTCAATTGACCTTCTCTTTGTAAAAACCATTACCTGCCATGCTCAGCACTTGCCTCAGAGACAGTGACCATCACTCCTGTGCCATTTCCATTGCTCTGGACAATCTCCTGATTAACAGAGGAAAACAACACCCTCCTGTGCAGCTGTACAGCCTAGATCATCTCCAGGGCAGGCTCCACCTACAACCCAGCCCCAGTAGCCAAAGGCAGCACCAGGAACAGTTGGCAGCCAATTCCCATTGCTCTTCTGGAGATTCTCACCCATGAAGGAAGAAATTTGGGGTGCTCACAGCTTGTGGCAGGGCTCTGTTGGGTTATGAGTGAGCACCTGCCATTGCATTACTCCATGGAAAAGCTTTTTAAACGGGTTTGGGATTTCATTCACAGCCCTGTTCTGACTTCTACAGAAATGCTATTTATCAAGATAACTTTAAGTAAAACTCTTGCCTGGCATGAAAAGGGTCAGGATTCAGATGTCAAGCACATGAGGTCAGTGTGAAAGCTGCCAGCTCTGGTCTGACCCTGAAACATCTGCCAGGGAGGTGGGGGGCACACTCCAGGTTACAGCTCCAGTGCATTAATTCTTCTTTCCTCATGCTGTTGTCCAGACCAAATGACCAGTGAACCCCAGCAAATATCTGTGGCCATTATTTTCCGGAAGGAAAAAAAAAAATCCCAGATCTCTATAGGACATTAAATACAGCAGCCCCAAATCACCAAGCACTGTTTGAAACCTTCCTGGGCTTGAAGCAAATAAAGATCATTTAGCCCAGGCTCCCTTGTCCTGCATTTCCCTCTGTTCTTAGAAAGGTGGGGAGAGAAAAATCAACCCCATTCGTTAAGGCAGTTAAGCACGCTCCTGGCAGGAAAAAGCCACATTATTTGTAACCCTAATAATCCAACACTCACCTCTGAGCACAGCTCATCTTGGACAGAATAACGTCTGTTTTAAAAGTACCTGCCTCTCTCTAACTTGTCATGGCATTTGTTGACAACCCTATTGAAAGCCGCTCTGGATGCGGCTGTGAAGGATCTTTCAGCACCTCTTTCTCTTTCCTAGACAGTTTTTGAAAGGGAGGGGAGAAAAAGAAAAAAGCCATCAATACAGGGGGAAAAAGGCATCAGCAGCCAACATCGGCTGATGAAGCGCCTCACCTGGGCCCCCAGCACACCGCCTCCAATTAAATCAAAATGGTTTGTTTTTAATGGTCTTTTACACTGACAAGTGGGCTATCATTCCAGGCCTAGAGAGCTGTCAGGGAGCCGAGGCAAATCCTCCGTTGATAATGCCCAATGCTTCCAATTAGGAGCCGGGGCCGCTGCTGGCGCTCTAACGATTCCCCAGCCTCCCCCAAGGCCCCTTCGGCGTTGGCTGTTTCGTCTTGGCTCTTCCTCCTCCGCAAATTACTGACACAAAACGGAGGCGCCCCGGTGCCTCCTCACCACGCCGGGCCCCGGCCCTGTTGGATTTAATGAGGCGATGGAAGTTTTTGCGGATCTTTCGCTAAATTCTTTTCTTGTTTGACAGCTGCTTGAGTGTTGACCTTATAAAAGATTTAGTGTTTCTCATTATTTTCTGTCAAGCTTTACAAGCGGTGGCTTGGCGGAAAAATCATTTGCATCTCGATGCGCGCGCGCGGGGTGGGTTTTTTTATTTTTTTATTTTTTATTTTTTATTTTGTCTGTACAGGGATGCTCGGCGCTCTGAGCGTCAGTGTGTGCACCCTACCCCTCTCTGTATTGTTTTACTCCCTCCTCCCTGCCTTTCCTGAAAAAAAATCCACTGTTTGGTGTTGTTTTGGAGAGAAAAAAATAAAAAAGCCCCAAGATTTGTTAGATTCCTGTAAATGAAGGAGGGTTTGGGAAAGGAAAAAAAAAAGGAAATAATAGAGATTGGTTTCCTGTAAAGTGAGCACAGGAAAGTGTTTTGTCACCCGCTAAAAGGATTCGATCAAATGGATGATGGAGGAACCAGGCTGAGTCCCGGGTGCAGCTTTGTTGTTAGAGTGAAAAATGGTGCAAGGGAGCTGCGAGCTGCTGGGAGCAGGTGGGCAGAGCCAGGCAGGTGCTGGGAGAGGAACAGGGACAGCCAGGTCTCCATGGATCCTTCCAGGCCACGAGGAGAGCCTGGTGCTGTTCATTACTTCAGGCCTTTCCACCACAAACCATTAAACACAGATCTCGTAACTAAAACTCCCCACTTAAGCTGAGCTTATTTTGCACCTAAAGGTGTTCACAACAAGAAAACCCAGCTCAGTCTCTGGGGTTTGCTGCCATCAGGGGAGCTCTGTAGGGAAAATATTCTTCCCTACACCAGCTTGGCCCTTCTGCATTTCACATGCAATTTATCAGCCCTCAACACACCTGCCTTAATGTACATTCCAATTTAACACATTGTTATAACCATGAAACTCTAAAGATAATACCCCCCCAAATACATACTGAAGTTTTAGGAGTGGCAATTATTGTTCTTGTCCCTCTAATTCTGTGAGGCAAACACTGACATTACAACGTCCCAGCTGCAAAGGTCCTGCAGGTTTGCATTTGTCAATAATAAATGAAATGAAGAGCAGCAAACATTGCTCCTGAGCAGCAGCTGGAGCCCATGGCAGCTCCATCATCCTGCAAGGAAAACCTTTCAGCCCTTTCCTACAAGCCATATTGGAGCACTGGATGCAGCAGGACAGGAAACAAAACCCTGGCATTAACAACCCATAACTGCAGCAGAGTAATGGCAAAGATCATCAGCTGTCTCTAGAGGAGCTACCTTTGGGTTCATCATTTAAAATATGAATTAGAAGAATCAGAGATGAGGATCCATCACTGGCATTGACTGCTCAACACCAGTCTCTGTCATAAAGAGACCTCTGACCCAAGGCCACCCTTATCTGGGCTCTAATGACTGGGAGGGTTTCTCATTTTTTAAAGCAGCACTTGGCCCTGTCCTACACCTGGTGCTCCCCACTCACTCATGCTGAGGGCAGGAGCTGGCATCCCCCACAACTTCCCAAGGCTCTGCTCACTTTAATTACTGCCAGTTGTGGCTCAGTGGGACATTTCTCACCCAGGAGCTTTGTACCTACATTGGAGTGAATTAACTGCTGTTCCCTCTCCTATGGCATCACCCCATCCCAGGCAGAAATGTCCCTGTGCCAGCTCCCAGCACTGTCAGGAAGGCAGAGGAACATTCAAGAGAAGCAGCTCAGCTGTCCTTACCTGCAAGCACTGGGTTTTTCTAAAAAATCCCAGCTGCAAAGGAAAAACTGCTGCACTTTTAATGGCAGGCTGGGGTTGGAATGAGCAGGGATTGTCCCTGCCAGCTCTCTGGGGTCACTCACCCCCTGCTTCTGCCTTCCCCAGCTCTCCCTCCCTGAGAGGGGTTATGTCACTGCTGCTATTTGTGAGGAAGCAAAAACATCCAGAAACAGCTGTCTGAAGTTAGGCACTCAAATGCATATTTAAGTACCTGAACGCCTTCCTCCAGAGAGGGGGAATAGCTAAATATGCTTTGTTTGTCTTGATTAATGAGATCACTAGCAAGCTTTTCAGGGCAAAGACTGCTCTGTATTTTTACATATGCAAAGCCTGACGTGCAGCCAGGCTGAGCAGGGTGGATGGGGGAAGAGGGAGGCAGCTCAGCACAGGCACACAGGCAGATGTGTGGCACAGGGAATTGTGCTGGGGCAGGCAGAGCCCATGGAAAACACTCCATTTGCAGCATCCCCATGCTGGTTTGCTGCTCAGAGCTGTGTGTGAGCCCCACTGCTCACCCCAAAGCCCTGGCACCTTTCTACCCCCAGATTAATTCCCTTTTGTTTGTTGGTATGGGCATTTTTTCACCCTGTCCTCACTCAAAGGTGATTCCTGGGCAGCTGCTGCTTCTGTGGTCCCCTGACCTCACCAGGGATTTCTCTGGGAGCTCTGAGCCCATCCTGGCCCCTCAGTGAAACACCCAAGTCCTGTGCTGTAGAAAACAACTCCTATTTATTTCAGGGCCCACCTTAGAGCACGGCAGCCTTTGAAAATGTCAGACAACAAACAGACCATAATAAAACTACAGGGGCTTGATGCTAGAGCAGGATAAGAACCTCCTGAAGTCAATCAGAAAGCTACTTCTCATTTTAAGCAGGTTAAGTGTTTAACTCCAGCTGGAGACAGAGCTCCCAGCCAGGCAGAACCCTTGTGCAATCTGCAGTCTCCTCCCTGTCTGTGCTTCAACCCATTTTCTGTGGATTGCCTGTAACCAATCCTCTCTCTGCTCCTTCCCTCATAGGCTAAGCCTCATCTCAGGACTTTTCCAGACCCTGAATCCCGTCAGAAGGCTCTCAGTGCCTCCCACTGAGGAGCTGCTGTGAGCTGCCCCTTCCCCAGAGGGCCCCCAGAACAAGGATGGTGCTGGGCTCAGCCCTTGGACCCCAGGATTCCACATGGAATAGACTTTCTCTCAGGTTTTACAGTTATGCTAATGCAGATATAGCCAAATAAATCATAAATATAAGAGGAACGATTCTGTCTGAGCCTGTTCATTGCTTTGTGTCAGGTGCACAGCACAATCCTGATGGTGCTCAGTGCTCACACCAGCACAGCCCCACAGGGAGGCAGGACAGGCTCCTTCCCTGCTGCCTCTGGACAAATAGATTGGATGCAGCCATATCCTAGCTGATAGCAAATCTGTAATGTCTCATCAGGCCTCATTTCTTTGCCAAAAACACTTCCCATCAGTGCCTGATTCAGCAAAGCCATTGCCTGTGTGAAGGAATTCAAACACCTGCTTTGAGTGCTCTGCCAAGCTGGGCCTCAGCACAGGCAAAGCTCTGCTTTAAGGTGGCTCCAGGCAGCTCCACTCTCATCCCCAGCAGCTGCTGGAGCCCCCAGGGCTGAGCCTCTCCAAGCCCTCACTGAACAAACCCAGACTCTCCCAGCACCAACTCGGCATCACAGCACCCAAACCCACAGGCTGAGAGAGGAACCAGCACACTTGGAATCCATCTGGTTAAAAGTGCCATCATTTAAATGTGGATCTCCATTATTACTAAAGGAATAATTGATATCTCTTACACAGTCTGCTTCTCACATCTACCATTACAGCTCAGAGCTTACCAGCTTTTTAAGCCAAATTATCTCCCACTTTTCATATTCTCTCTCCCATTGGCATTGGAGAGCTCAGGAGTGTTCACCCCAGAGCTCTGGGAGGTGACATCTGCTGTGCTGGGCAGCCCCAAATGCATCCTGAGCTCAGGTGGATGTGCCAGCACGATTTTGCCCCCCATACATTGGCACTGGAATTAGCCCAGCCCTACATAAAGCCACCAGCAGCCAAAAGACAGGAAAAACCCACACTGAGCTCAGGGCCCATTGCCCCTCAGAGTTCCAGCCAAACCTTTAACCCCAAACCTCAAAGAGAAGAGTTCTTGCATTGCTCAAGATGAAAGAACAAGTAAATTACAAGGTCAGTTTGGGTTTTTTACCTCTCAGGACAATGAAGGCTCCCCAGGAGCTGCTCCAGCATTTCCAGCTTGGACCTCAACCTGCCCTTTTATAAGGCAGGAGCTGTAACAAACTCCACCCTGCCCACACCTGAGCTGAGGAACAAAATCACCTGCTCCACACCGGGAAAACCCTGCTACATGTTGTTTCTTTTTAGTACAGGCCTCTAAATAAAACCCATCTAAAATAACGAGGAGGATAACAGCGGGGCTTGCCAAGCTGGCAGAGGTGGATTATAACCAAAGGCCTTTCCCACCTCCCCAGGGAGGGAGGGAGCTGGGCCTTAAATGACTTGTCTTGCTAAAAATGACACTGTTTATGAGAAACCCAGGCACGAGGTTTGTCCTTCTGCCTGCTGGGAGCCACATCCAGCTCTCAGGCCAGCCCCAGCATCCCTGGGGTGTGCTCAGGGAAGGAGACACCTCCAGAGAGTCCTGCCGGGCTGGGGAGGGCTGGCACAGAACGGTGTGAACCAAACCAAAGCCCTGCAGAGCTGCTGGTCGGGACAGGAAACAGCAAAGAGATCAGAAACCCGAAAATCATCCGACAAATCAACAAAGTGTGTTCAGAAAACACCTCTCAGTGCAGCTCAGAGACAGATCTGACAATGAAACGCTGGACATTGTGCCCCAATGTCCCCGGTGTCGCTGCTGGGATGGGCAGCACAGGGCACCCCTGTCCTGGCACCCCCAGTCCCAACCCTGCCCCGTCCGAG